AATGACATCCATGCCATAATTTTTTTTAATAATCTTCTATATTCCAAGCACATGCTAAAGAGAAAAAATAATTGCACAGTCAAGGAGAAGTAATAAAAACATGTCAACTCGTCTCACACTTTTTTGTTGGTCTTCCGGGAATTCCATGTGGTTTACCACATCCCCGTGCTTATACACGGTACACAAAATGTTTAACATACAGTAAAACTTACAGTGTAAAACTCACCCAGTGTTTTATATGTAGTACTTGCATAAGCACCTTTCTTGCATATTAACTTGATAACCTCTCTTCATCCATAAAAACCAGGCTTAGAGGTCACCTCCACCATGGAGTCAGCTCTGATTGCTTCCATCTTCTTCACTTGGACTTAATTACTTTACATTCTTCTTCGACTTACTAGTACCAATCTATTTACCATAATGTATTACATTTTATTTGTTTATATTCCCTTTTTCCTTGAATAACTGAGAGTCCCTTGAGGGCAGCAACTATCTTTAATTCATCTTAGCATCTTTGGACCTAGCATAGTGCCTAGCATATTGTAGAAAATCAAGAAATGCTTATTAAATGCAAGCCCATTCTGAAAAGCAAATGGCAAGGTATTGGTAATTACTGAAGCTGGATGATGGATATATGACACTTTACTACGCTATTCTCTATACTTTTTTTCATGCGTAAAATTTTCTAAAATAAGAAGTTCAACATAATTGAAGAACATGCAAGATGTCAGATAAATCTATCCAAATGTTTAAGTTCCTACAACAAATGGAGCTACTATATAGCTATGACCTCCATATGCTCCTCATTTCTTTTCTCATAAGAAATATATTTAAGAGCAAACAACATTACCCTGAAATAAAATACAATTTTGCTGTTTCAGAACAGCTGCAAGCCATGGATATCATATTAAATGAGAATTTTTGGAAAAACTGAAAATTGACAGTTTACCCCTAAGTATTTTATGGAGGAGGGACTTCTGCAGATTTTTGTCCTTCTTCTCTCTTATCTGAATTGCTACAGAAGCATAATTAGCATCTCTGCGTACACTCTCTTACCTCTCAACTCATCTTCACCTACTTCCCGGTTGACCCACCTAAAACACTGATCTGTCCCATTTGTGCCCTCAAAGTTGAAGACTGAGTCTTCAACTCTTCACTGTTTTAGGAATAAATGTGTGCTCCCAGCACTGAACCTCAAGTGACCTCTTTAGCCATATCTCCCATGGTAACATTCTAAGACTCATGTGCTGGAAAACACCCTCGATTCACTGCCCTTATCCATACAAATCATTCTGTGTCAGTGCTTAGGGTTAGAGCTCAAGCTCTTTGCTCAGCCTGAAATCCTCTTCCCCCATTCTACAATTTAGGAAATCCTTCTCCCATTTCAAGTTTCTATACAACTATTCTTTCTCCATGAAGCCTTCCCTTGATTCCTTTCTTGAATGCACCACTCCACCTATGGCTTCTACAGGCCATTGCTTGGGTCTATGCCTCGCATTGATTTCCTTCTGTCTTGCTTGGTAAGCAGTCTTCCTTACTAGAATGTAAGCATCCTGAGGGCACCTTCCTTTAATGTTCATCTTGCACCTTCCCACCATATCAGTCAATACTCGATAGAGGACCCGGCACACAGGTAGAATTCAACATGACATATTACGTGCTAAACTGTGAAATGATGAAATTAACCTTGTGAGTGTTCTGCCCCGTTCCCCTTATTAAAGAGTAGATATGTTTAAAACCTCACATCATTATATTAAATTTTATTAGTCATTTTAATCCTCTTTACAAAGTGCTTTTGCTTCCTAAATCTTGGATTCCAATTGAAATAGAACTTTTTAAAAATAGGACTTTATCAAAACTGGAAACTATTTTAAATGGGAGAATTGTTTCTCCCAATTCTTTTCTATCCATGGCTAATTCTCATCAGCATTGGAGATGATAATACTAAGGTAATACTGTTTTATTTCAACACTGATATAGGCCTTCCTATTCAAATAGACTCAGAGGTACTTTCAAGTTAACTGAAGTACAAAGTCACACTGAAGGAAATACTCTAAGGTGGGGCCACTGAAGTATTATTACCTTCTGAAGCTGACATATAGGCTCAGTGTTGCCTAAAAGAAGCTCAAGGTTTTGCTCTGGGCCTCATCACCTTCAATTCTCCACCACAAAAGAGTGGCTAATTCTCTCGCTTATCATGGGCCATACTTTCTACGTGATGCAATCTTAGTGAAGTGTTTAGGAATCTACACTGGGATAACCCATGGCATTCTTTTTTTTTTTTATTTGAAGCTAGAAAGAATGAAGGCCCTGATAATCTAATTTTTTGTGGCTTGCTCTTTAGCTGTCTCTTTTTCTTCAAATTCCACTTGGCTGGTGATCAACATACATAGGTTCTGTTTGTGCCTAGACACTGTCATAGTCTGAGAAGACACAGGCAGGAAGCCTGCACCAGAATTCTCATGTTCTTATTGGGCCTCATCATTGGATTCTACTTCGACTGGACACTCATCATGAATGCATGAATCACATGTGGTCAAAATTCAGTGAATACCTTAGAATGAAAGGGGCTCAGGAGACCACTTGGCTTGGTTTAAATTCAGCCTCTGATCTATTGTAAAGGTCAGTGGTCTGGCTTAGCTCACTTATGTGCCATGGTTGTGTCCCATGCTTGGGGCTCATGCTTGGTTTGGGGTTAAAAGCCTTGTAGAAGTTAAGTGGCTGTTGTGTGATTTGATTTCTCATGAATGTAAAATATGTGCCTTATTCTCATCTATGGTAACCCACAGCTTGTATTTTAGAATGATGAAGGCTTATACAATGAATTCAATGTCTTCCCCGCTTATACGACATTTTGTATAATATCTATAAATATGTAGGCACAACTGTATATATGCATGTAAAGAAATACAAATTCAGATATGAATATGATTATGATTTGGATATCTATCCCCAGGAATACATTTCGGATCAGCTCAAAATCCTGTGATTCTTGTTGAGAGTCACACTTCTAATTCTGCTTTTCATATTGTTGGAACTCAAATTTGACGTTTCAATTTGAAAACCTTCAACTTTAAGTAACATAAAACAGAACTTAAAGAATAAAATCTGAGTCATTGCCAGGGTTCTTAAACTTGGGAATTGTTACTTTAAATATCTACATTACCAACATTAGCAATAAAAGAACTGTGTGCTATTTAATAGCACTGTGAAAACTGACTTCCTCAAATACCTCTATGGTGGTTCTCCTTTGGAACCGAGCTCTGAAACCAAGCCACCCTGAGTGCACTAAAGTGGGGGACTATAACTCAACTAAATCAGAGAACAAATAATAATATGGTGACAAAAAGAAACTGAAGCAAATTATTCCAATCGTAGGAATTGAAATGATCTTATTTGTATTTTACTAAGACGTCGATGTTAGCACCTTGAGGCAGAAATCTCAAGACGATGCAACACTGTTGTGTAACACTTGGATATGTTTGTTTCTGCATTGTTTCCCTTCCAGGGGTAAAATAAAATTACTGTGTAATATGAGAAAAGAGGAAAACTAATTTCTGAGGTTTTATTTAATTTCAACTCAATATTATTTTCATTGCATCTAAGCAGACCTTGTCATAGATTGAAAATAAAGATATGGAAATTACATGAAAACTTCTTATATTCTTACATTGGTCTAAACAGAACCTAATGAACCTACTTTGCAGGAAAAAAATAAAAAAAAGGACTTTCTGAAGATAAGATACATTGACCATTATTAACATATTAACAGACAACACTTGTATATAACTCATGTAGTTTCATCTTACCTACTAGGTCTTAGCTTCTGTAGTTAGAAAGATTACAATAAGCATGGGCAAGTGTAAATATTTCCATCTTCCCACATTACACATGATGTGAGAAGTGAATATTCATAACTCAGCAATAAAAGATCATATCCTTATCTGGAAGAATATTAGCAAGTATCTCAGAGACTACATTCTTTAACTTGGGAAAAAAGGAGATCTGGGATGTAGAGCTGATATCAAATGATTTAGGTTTAAATGATCCAAAGTATGTTATTTTAGTAGAAGCATTATTTTTTGAAAAAAATAAACGAGTGTATAAAAAAATAAAGGAGTGTATAAAAAGGAACTTCAAAAAGTTGGCAAAGGAATAAAATTAAAAAATAATATGAATCTTTCAATGAACTTTTTGAAGTACTCTCATACATATTTGTTCGTATATACATACAACACAATACGGGTTGAATACATGTATTTGAATTGTTAAAGCAAAGTTGATCAACTTCTTTTTTAAACTTTCCAGTCTTTGAATAACAAAATTGATTTTGGTCAGCAAAAGTAAAATTTATATTAGATGCACAGAATACTTATTGGTAGCAACAGTGCTATGTGTATGGGTTCCCACTCAGGAGCCAAATGAGCAGAGTGGTTCATTGGGGATTGTAAATGAAACACTTGCAAATTAAGCGTTCAAAAGCACATTTTTGCTGAGAACCCATTAACTCAATTTTATACCCAAAGCTTACCCATTCTATATCATAATTAACAACCCAGCTCCACCCCCGCACCTCCTAACTAATGAGGCACACACAGATATTTCCCTCACAAATCAAGACACTCATTCGGTAGATGGAATCATTAAGGACATTAAGGCATAGTAGCCAACATGAACTTGACAACCAAAAACCAACCTGTACTCTCACCCCACAGTAAAGAGTCCTAACTTCCCACCTTGGAAATATATTTAACCCACAAAAATACCGTAAACCTAAATAGGTTCAAATAGAAAGAAAATGTTACCATATCCCTTCCCTTCCAGTGTCAAATATCTGGATAAACAGAAATGAACTGTCCAGTCGCTAGGCTGCTCTATGTCAAGCATGCATATTTTAAAACTTTTACTTTGGGCATTAAGCCTTCTCAACTTCTGCTGCGTCTTTCTCCAGCTCGGAACCAGACCTCACCCACCGCACAGACTGGGAGCGACCACTTTACCTTCCGAAAAATCAATCAGTCCCAGCAAATGAAGCAGCTTCAGAGATGCACATATAATCACAACAATACCCACTGTTTGCAGTCCTTCCGACTCCCACTCGAGAGTCAACATCCTCTATGCTGGCAGAGCATCCCAGCCTCCGGACCCTTTTGGAGCGGAGAGAGTTAATTAGAGAATCGGAGCAATGTCTGGCTTGGAACAAAGACTCGCGAGGGGGAAAAGTGAGCAGCTCCTCGCAGATGCACCGGGCAAAGCAGGCGGCCCCCGGGGTGAGGACAGACCTGGGCTAAGTGCAGTCTCTCATGCTGATCCTGGCATTGGCCTGGCGGGGCTCCCCTCAAGCACAGTGCACCGGCCTCTGGACTCCGCGCTGCAGCCGGCGAGTACTTGGACTTCAGAGCTACGAGGGAAACCTCTGTTAGAGAACTGGAGACTTTGCAGTGTCCACGGACAGAGGGGACACTCCCAGGAAACTTGCCCTGCAGAGCACGGCGGCGCTCCCCGCGCTGACCACGCGAGGCTGGGCAGGGCTGTCTGCGCGCTAGTTTGCTGCCTGGGAAGCTTGCGAATGTCTCCTTTTTGCCACAGCAGCTGCTCTCTCCGCCCAGAGCCTCCTCCGGGAGACAGCTCAGCCCCCTCTCTGATGCTAGCAAAAAATCAGTTCTGGTGGCTGGTGTCTGCAGTCCCTTTTAGAAAGCCCCTGTGGAATCCCATGAGCAGCTTTTCTACGGATAAAAGTGCAGGAGCAAGAGAGCCACGAGTCAGTGACTTTGTCAAGCGGGAGCATCCAAGCCGTCGCCCCCACTACTCCACTCAGCTGCTCTGGTCCCTGCGGACACACCGGGGCGTTGTTAGGGAGATTGATTTAGTCCTTGATTTACAAACGTGGTAGGAGGGCGGGGCACCGCAGCATCTTGTACGAACGATGTTCAGTAACTGCCCACCAGAGGGTGGGGACCACTATCATCCTTTGAAGTCTAGCCTCAGCCTCTTTCAAAGCAAAGTTTCAGACAAAGTTCCCTGATAAAAATCACCGGGTGCTTGTTAAAAACGCTCTCTTGCGGAGGATCCTGGAGTGTGTGCAAGAAACTCAGGTGATTTTTATCATCTGGAAAGCTTGGGCAGAGCTTTCTCCAAGGATCCCACTGGGTGTTACACTCCAAACCACGCCAAGCATGAGGCACCGTTGTGGGAGTGGCACCGATGCTACAGCATGCCGGGACACTGGCTCAATCCCCCGGTTGGTTATCTCCGGTCTGCTGAAGCCCAGCCTGACAAGGGAGGTGCAGGGAAAATATAGGAATATTGTCAGGGCTCCCTCGGATGTTCGGAATCTTGCCAAGCATCTGATGTACATATGTAAATATGCACGTGTGCCCAGGTGTTCCTTGGTTACTGTCTAATGTAATTGCTATGTGCGTCCAGGTGTTCTGGGTTACTGGACTTAAGTATAAGGGATGAGCGGCTCTGAGCCACATGCCCCAATCCCCGCCCTCGGGATGCCCCTGGGGGGCCGCTCTTGCTGGTGGAGGCTGTTGCTGCAAGCTGTTGCATCTGCTGGAAGCTGCTGCTGCTACTGCTGAGGAAGCTGAGGACTGAGCTGCGTCATCTGTCAATGGCTCCAGCGGGGGGGCCGCTCTTGCTGCTGGAGGCTGTTGCTGCAAGCTGTTGCATCTGCTGGAGGCTGCTGCTGCTACTGCTGAGGAAGCTGAGGACTGAGCTGCGTCATCTGTCAATGGCTCCAGGGATCTTTCCCAATTACCTAGCTCGTGGACCTGCATGTGAGGTGTCTGGTAACCCAGCCTGGAATGTAAGGGGTCTGTGACCCAATGTGTACAATGGGTTTGAAGGGTCTGTGGGCCCTAGCCCTGGCAATACAATTGGCTACGGCAGGATTCTGACAATTGCAATTTGCCTTAACCCTATAGGAGATGAAGAGAATTAACTTACACCCCGTATGCAACTGGAACTCACTATGAAACATAAGGGCTTATGAATAATATCTTAGACCCCTGGCAGTATTTTCAGTTTCTGCATCTTCCTTGTTGTGTGATCTTCTGCAAGACACTTCACCTCTCTGAAAACAGTTCCTACTCTGTGAAGTCAAGATTATAATACTTCATTTAAAGTTCTCCATTTAAAGGGAATGGTGGTAATTAAATATGGTCATAATAATAGTTAATATTTACTGATCATTTACTGTGTGCTCATCATATGATAGTGATTTATAAAAAATTAACATACCCACAGCTCTATGTGGTAGGTATTAGGATCATCTTCATTTTATTGGTGAGGAAAGTGAAGTATAAAGAGGTTAATTTACTTGTCAAGCTGTGGGCATAGTGCCTGGCAGGCAATAGGCATTTATTCATTCAGTTATCAGCATTTATTAAGCTGCTACTAAGAGCCATGAATGGTACATGGATAATAAAATAATGAATAATGCTCACACCTACTCTTTGGGGGCTTGCAGTTTAATAGGGGAGGCAGGCGTGATGTGGAATGTGACCAGTAAAGGCACCAGCACTTGAGCAGGTGTCTCCGCAGGGTACACTGGAAGCACAGGGAGGGAAAGTCATCTCCACATGGGGGAAGGTGGGTGGTGGTGATGGGAAGGAGACTTTGTAGATAATGGTAGCTTTTATCATTACTAGTAGTAGTGTGGCACACTCGAGCTTCAGGGTAGACAGACCTAAGTTAAATCCTAGTTCTGTTCCTTCCTTGCTCTGTGACCTTGGAGAAAGTGCTCCATCTCTGAGCCAATTTTCTCACCTTAAAATAAGAATGCTACTGCTTCTCTCATGGTTGATTGAGAATTAACTGAGACCGTGGAGAGCTGAGCCCGGTCTCTGATGTCGCCTGCTCAGCACACGGTGGTTGTGGGATTCTGATGGAAGTGCCTACTCTTTAAAGGCTCTACAGGGTCTCCTTGAATGAAGTGACTTTGCTCTCCCCTGGTTCTGCCACCCTGCTCCAAGGTCCAGTTCCAGTATTTTTCTCATGGAGACTCGCTGAATATTCCAGTCCACAGGACTGTTTTTCTCCTCTGGGTACTGGGTATACTCTTGGGCCACCAAGTTGGTCCTTATCATGGTGTTTTTAATTTTGGAAAATATGATCCTAGGAGATATCTGTGTATCTATCCAGCCACCCATTTTTCCGAGCATTACAAAATGCTTTACAAAATTCAATTACGTCAGCCAGCCAGTGGAAGGGAAGCAGCTCTTAGTAGTTCATGGGAAAAGAAATGCTTTAAATAACCATTCTCTGAAATTCCCAACAACATTTAGCTAGAGGAAGTCAAAAGTTAAAAAAAAAATTACAGAAATTAATTAGGTCAAGTCAAATGTAACTGTGTCTTCCAGTCCTACATAATAGTTGAGAACAACTACAGCACAGAAAGGTTAAGTAATTTGACCAAAGTCACACACATAGAAAGACCCAGAATTCAAGCATTGCTTTGTCCGGCCCCCCAATTTATGCTTTTCACTTTTTACCCCTAAACAGATTGCAGCAAACATTTGTCAATTGACCTCCTGATTTATAGAGCTAGGCAAAGTAAATTGACACATCTCATTTTCCAGGAGTGAAATCCCCAACTCTCGATGTTCACATAATTTCATTTTGAAGACCCATGGTATGATTTTGTTGACTCCAGGCAGGGATTTCTTTTCAAGACAATGGCATTCTCAGTTCAGGATCCACCAGCTGAGCATCTTGGAGGACCAGCCCTTACCTATCTACATTAGTTACCTTTACCTTTTGGTTTTCCGAGTTTTTTCTGTTGGCTCTACCTACAGGACCTTCTGGCTCTCAAGGATGCCACAGGCTCTTTCACATGCACACCCCACAGCAGGATCTCCTAAGGTAACAGCACCATCAAAAGAGTTTCACACTCCTTGGAAGTCTAGGGAAGGAGGGGACTTCTGGGGAAGGGTGTTTTTAGGGTTATCCCGAGAAAGAATAGTTGGTTGCCTATTATTTTCAAAAATAATTCCTGATAATGGCTCAATCATTTAATTGCAGTAACTTGCTGTCCTCAACCCAGTTTATTACATGAAAATACTCCCTGGCTTTCTCCCTCATTCCCATGCTCACCTCTTTCTTTATGTTATAATAGTTGTCCAGCAGAGGCCTGTCTTTCATACCAAAGGAAAGGAATACCAAAGGGATACACTAACATTTCCTACCCACTGACTCTAAGCCAGGCACCATGCTATGTACTTTACATACTTCGCATGTATAAGTTAGTTTAATCTAACCCCAATGGTTAGGTATTATTATCATTATTTCAAAGAAGAATAAAAAACAAGGGGCATTAGGATTATTTTCACTAAGTCATGTTCAATAATGGGCACAACAGGATTTATACCTGATTTAACCCCCAAATAATAGCAGCCGACATTTATGAAGAATTTATGTGTCAGGCAATATTCTAAAATTTTACTGATATTAACTAATTTAATCCTTTCATAATTCCCTGTGATCTATATTATTACTCTGGTTTCAAGGAGAAAATTCAGGCTTTAAAAGGTTAAGCAGTTTTCACTTTGTAGAGGTAAGAGTTGAATGTAGGTGTCCTGGGTGCCAGATCCTATGCCCTTCCCCATTCACCTTTCCACTTTCAGGTCTCTCTGCACCATGTCGAATGGATCTTTAACTGGGGCTCAGGGAAGGAACTGTGAAAGGAAATATTGACAGAATTCTTAGTACATTCCAAGATGGCATGTCCAAGTCAATTGACCAGTCTGAGAAGGAGAGAGGGTCGGTAAGTAGACTTTCAATTTTCTTGTACTGATCCATTGTGATCCTTTAAATAATCTCAAATAGGATGATTTACCTGAAAACTAAAATTAATCATTTTTCTCCTTCTTAGTTGTAGCTTCTGAAATTTTACAGGTTATGTTCCCTGGCTTAGAACTGTTACTCATACCATCGACATTATATCAATACAAAAACAAATGTAGCAAAATTGAGAAAAAACATTAAAAGCAGGTATATTCACTATCTACCTATTGTTTTGCATAGAGGAACTATTTAAGTCAAGTTTAAATTTAAGATTATTAGTCTATGAAGGGGATTAGAAAATGCCAGTCCAAAGTATGCTACTTTATCATAAAGATTATTTTGAGCTGAAGACGACTGAGAAATGGCAGACACAGGAAACGCTCTCTACCTTCACACTTTCTACCTAAAGGTAGGGTGTAAATTTCTCCTCGTAAAGATATTCTCCCTCTGCTCAGGAGGAGGAAAAC